AAAAGTGGATATATTACGAAATTACTAACGTCTGCGATTATTACGTCCACAGTGTGGATGTACTTTCGGTCCGTGTGAGGCTGGTAAAAATACCTCCACAAAATCTGGTGCTACTTGTAGCCGCTGTGATTCACATCCTCCCTCAGGAGTGACCAAACCAACCAAAGAATAAACGCATACCCGTTTGCCTGTTTTCCATCTACACTGATAAACTAAGTGATCAACTCTTCAACACTTGAAAGTGCGCAACAGAGTTGTTGAGCTTGTGCAATTGCAAGTGTTAAATAAGAGTTGGACAATTTTTGTTTATCGGTGAATGAAAATCACCATTTTCTCGACCGCGACTGTGTAGAGCACGACATGAGAGGCAATTACCCTGCGGTAACTGTATGAAAATGCTGTAACTTTTTCAAGGGTGGGGACGTCCTACTCTTAGTGCGTATTACTAGAGTTTTCAGAGTATCACATGCGTCACTTGCACTTGAGTGTGTAGGACTTTTGTCCCACTCTTGCAAGTGTCGTACTGTTGGATTTTCAAATGCAGGGCAAAACGTGATCCGTTTGGGTGTAAATAAGAGGAGACAAGTAACAAAATAATTTGTGGAGCTATTTTCACCAGCCTCACAAGTACATCCACACTGTGGACGTAACAAACACGTGTGCTAATTTACGTCCAAATCATTGGATGTTAATTTGTAGATGTGTTTTCACAACGCGCAAATTCTGTGGACGGATTTACTGAGGACGTGTCGGTTCCGCCCCGCACGTAGATGTAGGTATTCCCCTCTCTCTCTGTCACCGCCTTCTCACATCCGGCATCCTTCGGTCCATTCACTTACTAACTGCGAGTTTTAAACAACATACAGCATGGCATGCAGTATTCTGCATCTGCGGCTTCTCACAAACGAAAGAAAAAAGAAATCTCCACCAGAACGTCGATTTCATTTTCTTTTCCAATTTTTCCGACGGCTTTGAAAATTTCGGAAAAATTTCGGAAAAATTCATATTTTTCCGGAAATTTTTCGGGCACTTACAACACTAGAGCTGGAAATGCTGTGTCCTGATGGCGTCCTTATGAGGCACACTCGGGGAGAGGAGGGCGCGTCGGGCGTCGAGAATTGTCAGCGCGTAGTCCTAGACAGCACTGCCGTCAGCTCCAATATGGCTGCAGTCCGGAGTTGATCATTCACCTGTCTCCGGCTCCGGCTTCACGGGCTTCACCAACTATCCGCATCCGCGGTGCAGGTCGTCGTGCCGCACGGGGACCGAAATAGTTTTGATTTGAATGACCCGCGTATTGCGAAATTGCATGGCAGCCTTGCGTATACGCAGGCTTGGGGTCTGTTCCTCGGGAGACGTATTCCATTCGGCGGCCGAGGCTGAGGTGACCCCATAAGACCCCCGGCGCCATTCACAGTCCCGCCGGGCTCGCCCCGCCGGCTCCTGCCCTGCCCAGCTCGGCCCGGGCTCGGCCATAGGCCAGAGCACGTCTACTCACGCGCGCGACACACTCAGAGTTACGCGCCGTAAAGCGGGGCCCCGCGACTTACGGCGCAGCTGTTTAATGAAAATTAAGACGGCCGAAAATAAACTCGGAAGTGTCATACCAGAGCGGAGGGAGAGTGTGAGAGAGAGAGCGCGCGTAGAAGTAAGAGAGAACAGTGCGCGACTGGGAAGGGAGGAGAGGGAGGGAATTCTGCTGTACTCAAATTGGCTGGTCGCGAGCACAGTGGCTGGGGCAGCGGCAAGACAGGCTCTGTCTGCTCGGATCGGGGCGCGGATTTATGAATTATTTTTAGAGTGCGTCTATTTCTACAGCGCCGGGCGATCGGTGGCTGTGATAATAAGAGGCTCCCCGCCAGGGGCGGCGTGCCCTCTAATAACGGTGCAGCCCTGCGGCGCACGCCCTCCAAATGTGAGGAAAAATGAGAATGCCTCGACATTACTTATCGACATAATATTTCAGTTACTTACGTAAGTTCAACGAACAAAACGAGTTGAACGAGAGCGCGATTTTAACTCAATGACATCGTTTAATGATGAGAAAATAACGAAAAATTTCGTGAAAATTATTTTTCAGTGTCTCTCTGGCATAGAGTCAAGTACCTCCTTTCATCCCCCTCCCGGTTCTTCGGTTCGTGGCGGCGACGAGAGGTGTGCAGCTAAGCCTGTCCTCGGCGTAGGGGGCTGCTGAGTTCGATCTGCTTGTTCGTCTCGTCCGCCCTTTCCTCCCCATGCTTGTCACTTCTGCCGCTCTGCCGGGATCATGTCGTGGGCTAGAGAGGAGGAAAAGGGGGAGGGGGGGGGGCGTTGCTGCGCGTGGTAACGGCGGCTGGCTGGCTCTCGGGTCACGTGACCGAATGGCGTCGTAAATTTGGGATTGCATATCCGAGCGTGCGTGTGCATACGTGTTGCCACCTGGACAGCAGAGTGTAGACCGCCTGAGACGCAATATCGCAGTATGCGTTGCGTGTGTGCGTGCGCGCGGTGGGTATGGTACGCGGTTCGCGGCCTCGCGAACGCCGTTAAAAACGATAACACAAAGGGGGAGAAAAGGATGCCTCGCCGGGGTTTGGACAATTTGAGGCGCCGGCCGTTCGAGACCGAGGCGATAGAGCCGCCAGGTGCGGCTTTCAATCACATTGCGGGCGGAATATCTCAACAGCGTCGGGCTATAAATACGAGGGCGGTGGCGTGGCGGCGACGCCGGCAGACAGAGAGAGAGGCGGTGACATTGTGCGAGAGAAGAAGGGGAGGGCCTCATTCCTACCCACACGACGCCGGACTAGAGTCGGCGGTCGAGTCACGCACGCCGCCGCGAGTCGGCTTTTCTTGTCCGCGTCGGGCTCGCGCCTTCTGCTCGCTGCTGCAGATGTCCGCAGCGTACTATTAGTTTTGCCACGAACACTTTGCGCGAGTCTGATAGTTTACCGCACCTCAAAGTTTCCTCTCATTGGCAGTAATCTATATAGGCGGTGCGGAATTAAACTTTGTCTGCTTGGTGAGGTGCCTTTCTCAGCTTAATAATTTAGCTGTTGAATGATCCTGACAGCTAATGCAGGTGGGTGTTCCACGCGGAAAAATAAAGATTTGCCGAAATAGCTGATACATTAAAGCCTTGTGTATGGGCTATTGCTCGACAGCCACGCCGCCGAGTCGGGGGCTTGTACTCCCGCGAGTCCTTGACCGCCATCATACCCTTCGGTTTACGGACGGCCCCTGCCTGGCGGGCGCGCGGCTCCCGCTTATGAATGGCTGCGCGGGCACGGCCGTGATTTACCTTGAGCTTATTTGTTTTCGTCTGCCATTGTTGTCGCGTGAGTTTTATCGCCATGTTTTCTCTTTCGCCGCCCTCTCTCGCCGCCCGCCCCCGACGCTTTTCAAACATTGGCGGCACGTCTTCAGAGACACGTCTGCTCGCGAGGCAGGCCCCCGCCGCTGAAGGTAATTAATTAGGCAGGAGATCGGATGATTCTCCCGTGAAATTAACAAGGTTTCCCTCCCATTGATTACCCTGGATGAGTCCGCGGGTCCGATCCCCCC